AATCTTCTCTTACTTCTCAATATACAAGCTGACCAACACTGCATTACCTACTTTCAGCGTTTGCTACGCTTCGCCTTTCTTCAGCACGAATCTCGCACTCGGTACAAACTAACTTCCTACGGCGGAAAGTATTACTCCGAGGAACCGATGACGTCGACCAGCTCGTTAAGAAACATCTGGACCTGGATCAGCAACTGATTTTGCCCATAAGCTAGCGAAAGAGTCGGGTGACTTTTGCAGACATAATCACGCCATGATAATGCAGATAATAAGTACCCTGCGAAATCGCCCGCCACACAAAAACAAGTTTATAGACACCTATGCGTGCTGACTGTCGTGTCAAAAAGATCAACATAAAAGCTAGATAGCTAGAAAGCTACTCCTTGAGTGCTTACCCCTCATGTCACCATCTCGCAAAAGTGCTGCCTGTAGCTAGTGCAGAGTGGCACTTTGGAAAAATACCTTTCTTGGTACTGGACGCCGGTCAAACTGTCAAAGACTTTCGCACACAACTCTTGCAATGAGTATAGATGAAACGTCGCATCACCCCTCTTACAGCCTCGCAAGCCATGCTGACGTCCGACTAAAATTCAAGATAATCTATGAAAATTACTAGACGCCAACTAGATTTTACTGCTGCACTGCTTTCCCCTAAATTGCGCATTGGACCGGCGTATGCTGATGAGCGGATGCTCGATGTTGTAACCGAAAATATTGTTTTCAAAATGGATAAGTTCTTGTTCTTATTAATTTTCTATAAATTTGTGTCTAATTTAATAGGACAATCTGCATTATGCATTTAGGAGGGACACAGCAGTACTTCTTCACATTATAATCTATACTATAAGCCAGTTCGACTACGCCTGATTCGAACAAATGAAACTGTCCAGACTAAGATCACATTTCATAACTCACGAAATCGACAAGCACTGACTGCTTTCAATTTATAGTCAATGCTCAATTGCCAATTACTCGTGTAAACCATGAAGCTGGTCCAGTTTATACGCTACCCACTCGCTAGAATTGAGTATTATATTATGCAGAAGGTCCAAGTGCTTTGATGAGCTTGTTAAAACAAGCATCACAAGTCACTGCCCCCTTACGAATGTTGAAAGCTACACCGTATAATTTTCGCTTAATGGGATATTTGATCTATTCGCAATCATCTTTGCATTATACGTTACTTCCGTTATATTGCACAGCTTTTGCAAGTCAATATATTTGCTGTCAATAATTAAAGCATGCCAACGCTTTGTTGTCTGAAAATACACCCGTCCCTCGAATAACTAATAAATGCGGTGGAGAAAATATCTATCAGTTATCCGAGCTTATTGGTTATCAGATTTTTTTGCAACTTTTTATTGAAAATGTGAAGTGCATTTGCAAAATCACATTTACAATAAATATGCCACCAGCACGTTAAACAAATACGCAGAGACTCGAGGTCTGCAATCAAAAAGACAAAAATCAGTGGACGAGTCAAAGTGCGCTTGTGACATGGGCTACACTGAAGTTTGGCGTTGGAACCACTCAGCATCCTACAAAAGAATCGCTAGCTCGAGGCCATGATAGATGTTGAACTTTCTGCCAAACGGCCCCGCGTTGTAATCACCCGCAGCTCGATAAAGCTTTGAAAACATGGGTGCTTCAATGCCAGACAAGGCATGTAGCCATCGCTGTAGATCTCAGCAAAACCAAAGCAAAAGTCCTTGCTGCCCGACTTGGCTTGTGCGAGAAAGAAAGCAAATATTACAATGGGTGGCTGCAACACATTCAAGGGAGGAACAAGCTGCGTTGTATCAGAATCTATGGTGAGAGTGGTGCAGCAGATCAGGCAGTAATCGATGCTACCACTCCTGCGCTTTAGCAGTCATTGCTCGGTATGAGCTGGAGGATGTGCTCAACATGGATGAAACTGCTATGAATGTTAGCAACGTACCTTACGAGTTGTTTAATTGATGCACTTGTAGGACACCATTCCATGGTCTCAGAAAGGCCATTGAGGGACGTAGACAAGCCAAAGTAAGTTTATTTACATAAAATCATGGTCTTTTAAATGAAAAAATATCACTTTTCCTTCTGCATTACAGAACCGCATCACTATTGCCTTTGTTACCAACGCAGATGGGTCAGAGAAGCTGACGCCATTGTTCATTGGAAGGGCCAGTAAGCCTCGCTGATACGATCCTACGACAGGAGAACAACTGCGTTTCTATTATTGCAGCAATAAGAAAGCGTGGATGACCGGCGCCCTCTACCAGAAGTCGTTAAAAAGGCTTGACAACGACATGAAGGTACACTATGTAAACGCTTTATATGTGTTGTCAACTACTTCAATCACTGTTCTTTTAGGCCAAAGATAGGCAGATCCTTCTTTTACTAGATAACGCCACTTCTCACATAGTCGACGATCTCCAGGTGAATAATGTCGAGGTTGTCATCCTTTTTCCAAACTGCACGTCTAAGAATGGATGCCGGGATAATCTCCGCGTCCAAGCGGCATTACAGACGTTATCATCTTAAATTGCTGCTATCGTGACGATCGAGGTGAAATCAACATCCATAAGATCGATCAGTTAACCGCAATGAAATGAAGCAAAGCAGCTTGGGAGGAGATATCAGTAGCCACCGTGGCCAATTGCTTTCACCACACTAGTATCTTTGCAGGTCTCCTCAAATATCGGTGCCCAATATAGATAAGCAACACATTGAAATCGACCTGTGCGACGCTATTCAAAGGCCCCCTCTTAATAATCCCAGGGCTATTAAAGAGCTTTGAGTCCAGTGATGGAGGACAAAACAGCTAATCTGGAGTTGAATGACAACGAAACTATAGCCAGGGTTCAGGGGACGGAAGAAGAGAATGACGATCAAGAAATGAAATGTGGAAAAGAGATAGTCATGAATCTGGAAAAGCTAAAGAGCCTAAGAGTTACTGCTTCACCGCTGGTTGTGACGAATCTAACAGATAGAGCGGTACTCAGGCGCATTCGAGAACTGCAGAAATCTCCGGCGACAGTCCAGACTACCATTAATTCGTGGCTGGTTTCAAATTAATCCAGCATTGATTGCTTGGCACCTCTGTCATCTGCATCAACAAGATTTATGTTTGTAAAAAAGTTATGCAGTACCTAACGTCGCATGATGTCCATATGACAAAAAGACCTGAAGGGAGCGAGTCAATCAAAGCGCTATGTACTCGGGTAACTCACAATTGGCTACTATTTTACCAGTTATGAGTTAGAACTTGGCTACAAACAAATATGCTTTGTGGAACACGCTATTGTACGAGGTTGTGAGTTGATTTATCCGAGGGACGACTGTATAAACAATAGCATATTTCGTATAAGTGTTTATAGATCTGCCCCACAGGATATCAAATCGAAAAGCTCCTATGTATCATAGTAAAAATCACTGCTCGACTTTCTGACCGCGACTGGTTGTGATTACGACAGAGTTCCAAGCGATCTCAAGAGTTTTTCTCTTTAACTCATCGTTGACCATCTGCATTCACCATTTTATTAACGCGCTGATGTCACGACAATTCCTGGTCGTAAGCGCAACTACAGTTTCGATTTATAAGGCAAAAAGTGCGGTTCTGAAACAGGCTCTTTGAGACGCACGTTGCTTTTCGACGTGCCTCGATTACCTCATATCACTTGACCATCACTTTTTTGTGAGGTTCCTGCAAATCACGTTTTGGCAATGCATGTTGTAATGAAGAGATAATTGCTGAGGATACCATAAAGTCTGCGAATCCGCAGGATTTTCACCATTGCATGAATATGAAGCGCATAACAAATCTTTTTAATTCACAGATGACGAAAAATATAGCGACAAACTCATTGATCACAATTTTGTAGACGGCTAATCGATGTAATGGATGGCTTTGACTTACTCAAACTCTTTACGCATAAGCAACGGATGAACGGAATCAAATAATGCGGCTATAATATTGCACTTAAAAATCAGTTTTTAATATCAAATGTGTTTATCTAATACAATTGGCGAAATTGAAGTGTCCAATTAATTGTCATCATGGTAGACACAACCTCGGATGCCGCAGCATCTGTGGTGGCAACGGTGCTTCCTTCCATGAACCCTCCACTGTTTTTTGAGATAGTAGAAGATCAAGTCTATCGCTCAAACAAGTGTGATGCGTCGTCCTTCTCGTTCCTGGCTACATTACAGCTCAACACAGTGGTGTACCTCTCGTATGACGATCTCTCGCGCGATCTAGCCGCCTTTTTTGCCGAAAAGGAAATCAACGTGGTCCGTACTGCTTACAATTGCTGATTACGAGATATATTTTGTCAGTGCTAAGTTTGCTTTGCATAGATTCACCTGGGCATGAAATATCGCACAGCGTCGTCACAGTGGAAGGGCATTTCAGAAGGTATGGCCAAAGAGGCCATCGAGTGTATTTTGGACCAGAGGCTCCACCCGATTTTAATTATGTGCAAGTACGCTAAAAGTTAAGTCAGCTTTGGGCTTCCAACCAGCAACATTCATCGCTCTTGATTGGTCGTAGAACTGGAGTGCATTTTGCTGGTACAATGATTGGCTGTCTTCGACGTCTACAGAACTGGAGCTTGACGTCGACTATTGACAAGGTGGAGTATATTGAAGCACGTGTCTCGATAACGAAAACTAACGGCAACTTGAACAGTATCGAAATATCGCTGGTAGCGTCAAAACGCGATTCGAAAACGAACAATTCATCGAGCTATTCGATGTCGACTTAGTCACTTTGCCGCATCAACTACCATCATGGTTTATTGTTCACCAACGACTCACGGTAGGATAGAGAGAAGTTAGAAAGTCGCTGTATTAATTTTTGTGATCGATCCTTTATCCAGGAAGAGGAACGAATAGCTCTAACTAAAGGCGAGTTTTTCCCAGGTAAATCTTCTGACAAGGGAGAAAATCGAATTGAGACGAAGACGATTCCGCAGATTGAGTTTGAGACCTACGCGAAAAACGAAAAGTCTACAATCGAGGAGTCACCGTTAGAAGCTGCAGATTCTCCAATATTGGCGTATCAAAAATATTTCTTTTGCTTGCAGGGCCCGCTCGTGTCGCCGTCTGTAAAGTTTTCGGAAAAGAAAAGTATAATCGGTGACGATGACGATGATTAAGTCGCAAACTTTGTCATAATACTTAATAATCCATCAGCATTTGTTCAATAGAGATATGCAAAGCTAAATCGTTGAATATCAACAACGACAAAGGCACGAATCCCTTCATGCATTTAAGTCAGGTCCTGAGCGACATCCACCTCCCCGACAATTCCCTCCTTAACGCGCAACAGGAGCGTTATTTTCCATGGCTCAATCTTTGAGATCGTGTCGTATTGGTACACGGCGTCCGCAAATGCATCGGCATTGAACGCTTCGTAACTTTGGTTCATGGCTTGCAAGAACTTTCCCTCCCGACTATCTGCAAAAGTGTAATCGATGTCCTGGAACTCCTCCCACTTCATCTGCACAAGAACCATATCCTTGGTCGCCAGCGCACAGATGCCTGCATTCAGCAAATGATTCTTCGCGTTAAACTTAAGCAAGTTCGACTCCATTGACGACTTTGCAATGCTCTCATAAATCTCCAAAGCTGCGTCGTATCTTACCACATAAATCGTAAGTTACCATCTCTCATATCAAAACAATTACTTATCACTAACTTTCCCAACTCGGCCGAGAACTGTGCAACTTTGAGCATCATGTTGTTAGCCGATGAGGCTTGATTCTCTCCTGTAAAGTAGTCGGCAGCCTGACGATAGGCCTCCAGCGCTTCTTCCTTGTTATCCTGTTGCTCATATATTTCGCCAATCTGCTTTTGTAGTTTAGCAGCGTTGGAAAAGCGGCCAGCATCGCACAGCATCGAGATGGCTGTCTTATAGTGCACCATCGCATCTATTCAATAGCAGCAATAGAATAAGATGCCAAGCATAAATTTTCAGCCTCTGTCAATTCCAATGGGAATTCCTACGGTTAGCTTACCCATAGGGTTTACCTTAGCCAGCGCCTCTGCTGCTTGCTGGTAGAACTGTGCAGCGCGCGAATTTTCATTCATGCGAGACTGCTCATACAACCAAATTATTGTAATTCATCAAAATATTAGTGCACGTATGCAATAAGAACAAACCTGGCAGCGCGCACACTTTTCGAATGCCTCTGCCGCTTTTTGCCCTGCATTGTTCAATACAGCCCTCTGTTAAAGGTCGAGATTGAGGAAAAGTGAAGAGCACGCACAGTTCTTGGCAATCTTGAACTGATTGCCAGCTTTCGCAAAAAAATCACTGGCATCTTCGTTTCGCTGCGAGCTTGATCCAAACGAGAAAAAAGAGGTCTTTTTGAGAGCCTTTTCTCCCTGCGCTAGAAAATCTTTAGCCTTAGCTTCTGCGCTCATTGCGGCTTGCCCCGATTATTTATCGCTACAACGCAACCACACTTAGTGTGGCTCACACGTCAGAATACTGTATTTCCCTATGCTTTGAATCAGCGTATGCGTAGTAACTGCTATTTCCACGATATCAACTTTGATAGTCAAAGCAGTATTTTTACGTCATTGGATTTTGTTACAGTTTGTACTTTTAATTTGTATTCAAAACGGGATTATATACTCCATCTTAGACTTAATAGTTGACTTAGATGAAAGTTGTAAACCGTGGGTTGTATATATATCAAAATGACTTATTCCGACGAAAACCTACTAATAATTCTGGTCATGCTAAGATTGACTTTAGCCCCCTGTAATATTAACATTTGCAAACATTCAAAGCCCTAAAATTTAGTATAATAAATATAAACTACATGTGATTGGGCAAAAATTTGAGAGGCAAACAAACTTTTTGACAGTAAATAAGTGGAGGTTCCTGAAAACATATTTTGTGAGAAATGTCCACGATGCGTACACGCAATATCAAGTACAGCATCCCATGTGACTGGAAAGATGAGAACAAGCCCGTGATCCTCATTCATATTTTAGATCATTCCTGTCAATGTGTTCGCGATGACTTGGTACACGCAATTAAAATCTGTGTACACAACATAAAAGTTGTCCAAATCTTTTTTTTAATATAAATGATGTAGCTTGCCCTTTTGTTCGACCTCATGCCCCTATTATGCCTAAGGCGAATGCCCAGCGGTCGACTAATAGGAGGCATGTAGGGTCGGCATCGTATGGCAAAGCCGACCGAGGAAGCGGCTTTACACAACAAGAGGGGAACTCGCTTCTTGATTTGCCCGATGATAGTCATCCTCTATTTGTTACAGAATGAGACGCTGTCCTTCGTGAACACAAATTAAAATACCCTGGTCTCGAGCAAGGGTTTGAAAGCGTGTAGCGAACATTCTGTACACTGCATCGAACTAAAAGCCTACGGGAGATTGTCTAATGCGTCCAGATGTGAAACGAGCGAAACACATCCAGTATTAGATGACTGATCATGCTGACGTGGGTGAATGTGAAGACCAGAACGACACATTCTTCGAGCAAGCAAGCGATAATAGCGATAAGGATGTCGATCCGGCGACTATGGATTATCTTGAAGTGTGATGGGCCACAATTTGCGAGCTCATGGTTTGTATTGCTGCATCTGATACTTGCGCTTTGTAACGCTGAGCTAGGCCGCAGATTGGCTCAATCGAGAACACTTATCGATTGGGCGTGGGCTCCATTCGCACTGTGGTGAAGTACTAATCATTGTGAGCTGGAACTAGGACTCGTCTTCCGATTGCAATGTCCTCCTCCACGCAATCGCAATCAATAATGTTTGTGAAACGGTGCGGTGACTAGCCAGATATGACATTGCGTAATCATTGTAAACGTAGGGATGAAGGAACGACAATTTATAGCTACTTTGTATAACATTGCTAATATAATTTACTCTTTGTTTCATCACGTCGCAGCTTCCTGAAGGCGCGGTGTCCCAGCCCGGTAAAGTAATTAATGACTAATTACATCTTAAACCAAATAACATACTCCCCAGTCTCTTAGTCAGATCGAGCAATGCGCGACGACGGATATGACGGTCGCGACTTCGACGCCCTACTGTTAAAAGGTAGATACCATTTTTGGACTCACTGTACTCTCTTCTGTCGGATTAGAACCAGAGAGCTGTGATAGCAGCTGAAAATTGATTCTTGTATGATTTTTATGCCAGCTTTGAGGATGCCCTTTTGCGCGACAAACTTAATGTGTATTGTGTATGTTTCGTGACCGAAACATACACAATACACATTTAGAAATTACCGCACAAAATATGTTCTCACGAACCTTACAATTTACCCTATTCGCAGACATGCACGATGGCGCAATGATTGCACCGTACTCTTTTAATTGAGAAATACAAATATCGAAAAGTCGAATATAGAATAAATTTTCTGAAACGGAGCACGGCTACCCTATAGTAATTGGTACTCAACGAGTACAAAAGAGGTGGACTCAGGTGTTCAGGGGAGTGACAAGCGTCGACTGAATCCAGCATCCTACTATATATTGAAGGGTTTGATATCCCATTAACATCACAGAGAGAAGTACGAATGGCAGTGCTCACTCATGTGACGTACGTAAATGAACCCTGGGATTTGCATCCGTTCTAAATGTCAAAATTTTTACAACACCTTTAACTTTGCATTTTGAAATACGACGGTATTTATGTATTATTCCCAAGATCAGAATAAATTGCAAACCAGGTTAACGCGACTAAATATACCATCTCATGCATCAGGCCATATCACGTGATAAATGAAATACAAGGAGCACATGAACATCGGCTACATTGGTGTGCGACAAGGAGTCTACATTGCGCATTCGCTAAGTACTTTCACGTCCACATGATACGCGAGCACAATCTCCTTTCATTCTGGTTTACGCATATAACTCTTTGAATTTCGAACTTGATCCTAAGAGTCATTATTTAAAGTCAATAGATATACAATATAATATCACCAGGTGCAAATCAAATTGACTTCAACTCAGTGCACATTTAATGTTTTCTACCTTACTCGTATCTTTAGCCTGAAATATCATGCCTTTACCATGTTAGTGATGGTCGATACAATTAGACTAACAATGATTTCTGCTCGTGGACGGCAAGTCTAGCCAAACTGCGTCGCAAATCCAGCTGGGATAGAGAGTGTCATGAATGGGACCTAACATGCACTTCCCGCGCGCAACGCGGGCTGAGATTGACTTGTCTTATACAAAGGGTAGCGTCCCACAATGACCGAATATTCGTCCGTTCAACGGTTCCGAGGTTAAATTTGGACTTTTGATTGATATCTTTTCTGTACGGTCTATGGTTGAGAGAAGCTGGAGCTCATCGAAAGACCCGATTCGGATGATGCAGAGCGCAGACGTGTTGACGGGCGAAGGAAGAGCTTAGAGCATAACAAGAGAGTTCTAAGAGGATGCTCAAGATGTCAGCCTTTCTTGTTTGAAATGAAAGGAGAGGTGATTCATATTCCGTTCGATTTGCTGCTCAACGGAGGGGGAAATCGACAATGTATGAAACAACGGCGTCTTCCTACAATTTATGACATGCTTTCTTACTTTACTGAATGGATAAGTAAAGTGTCCAGAGATGTGTCATCATATACATGCGATCGCTTCTAAACGACGATAGGTAAGATTTTTGGACCTGACTATAAGAGGCAAGTTAGTAAGGCCCGTCGAGGTAAAAGTTGATCCGCAGTATAATAGCTTGGCTCACCCATCATTCCCCAACGCTATATCAGTAGCAAAGCTGAACATTAGCCAACATGTAGACTTACAGCCAGCAAGAAATCGCAAACATCATGTTCGCGCTCCATCAACCATCCGTAATCATATGGTCTTATTGCTTATTCCAAATTGGATATCTTGTTCAGTGGAAATGTAAGTTAGATGTAAAAGCGGGGTTGCCGAAACCATATCATGATTTTGCTCTTGCAGGCCAGTCAGATGGAGTTCTTTGTTGTAGACGGACATGCGTCTCTACCATCACCTGTAGCTGGGCTACACTCAGCCAGAGAAGCAACACTGTTCTGAATCACTGCGGGTGCCATGATTCATGTCTGAGTTGGCGTAGCTACAAAAACGCATCCTGAGCCCGACGTATCTTAGTTCTGGTCGCATGACGTTTTTCTCGGAACGAAACAACCTAACGTATAACTGATTTGAATCACGATAGTCAGCCGCAAATGACATGTCCCTCGTCGGCGCCGGTCGATGGTCAAGGGGTAGCACACTGTCACATGAAACGGCTAGTGGACCGGCGGGTACATCAGGTCTGCTACCAGAGTCTGTTGCAGCGGAAGCTTCTCTCTCAGACAAAAACGCGTAAGAGTTTGAAGTTCCACTTGGACTAATTTGCCGTGGTTTCGTCATCGCTTATGATTTAAAGCCTTCTGATGATGAGCAGTCGGCGTCCGACGATACGTTTGGGAGCCCAATTAGCTACGCATTCAGGTTGACTCGTTGGGTCAATTTTTCTCTGCGCAAGTAGCAAGACAGCCCCCGTGAGTAATGAAAGCATGTCGGCAACAAGCGATTAAGTGGTCCTATTACCAATTTTGGGACAGGTACTAGTACCGGTAATAAAAATGGATGTGGTACTGTTATTGAGAAAAGCTCAATTCTTGGGTAGCAATTGATCGATTATCACGATCATAAAGGCCTAGTTAGTTAGTACTTATTTGTCACTGTATCACATTGCGTTATCATCAGTGTGTATGATATATTGTTCTATCATACAACTCCGTTCGGCACCGGCGGAGCAACAAATGCAGCTTAGTTTGGCGAGTTGTATTGAGAATTTTGCATTTATGTAGCGTTTCTGTGCTCGTTTAAGTAGAAAAAGAAAGACAAAATATTGCTACTATAGTACTACAATACAAACTATCAGAAACTTTAACAAATTGAGACTTGGGACCAACGACCAAACACCCACTGTAAGACCATGATTAAAGGCCTTGTGTTATGAACTCACTAGGTTACCCCATTAGATTTTGAGTCTATCTCCTTAACTCTCGCCAAGCTGTCTGAATTTTAAGAGCATTTAAATTGTTACATCAGCTTGTTTTACCATTTAACCTGCATTCAAACTTGTCAACTAACACTGCAGTAACATATTATACTCAATAAATAAGCATAAGAACAGTAGCTTTAGTCTCCACATTACTGTGTTTTAATCTTTATTTGCGCCGAGTTTACCGACTGTCGGAATCTATTCTTGAAAAAAAAATACACAAAATACTGCTTAATATCAATAAAATTTAAAAGATTTTGCAAGATGTATTTGTTCAGGTCAGGCGTCCACATGTGAGAAACGCTATATAGATTCAGTGTGGGCGAACTACATATTGGCTGATTGTAATCAAATATTGATTTGATCGACAACAAACATCCTCTCTCTTCGCAAATACATATCAGAGAAAATTTCTGGGTCGCCCATCAACTTTGTAGTCTACTCGAAAATATTAAAAGTGTGATGATATCAAGATGAGAACATCATTTGAAATTTCGAAAAAGAACTCCGAAAGTTCAATCTTAACCTCACTAACAGAAAAAGGAAACGCAAGAAAGAAACGTCGAGATGGCCACCCAGATTGCCGACCGCAGCAACGCTGGCATGAGTTTTACCAGCGACGGAAGCGCACCCGAACTAACAAAGCTGGAGGTTACACGGATGGCTTTGGCGCAGGAGCAGAAGAAGCGCATTGATGCTGCTGTTGCGCGAGTTACCGGTAAGAAGGATGGCGGTAAGCGGAAGAATATGGGCTCGTCGGACGCCAGCCACCGTACCAAAAAGAGCAAGACAGTTGTTGATGTGGGAAGTGATGCAGTGGATAAGAAGAATTCGATTGCACGTAGGATGGTGAACAGATTTTCGGCCATGCCTGAGCCCGAACACGAAGAAGAAGCCGCGCAAGAACTTGAACCCATGACTCGCTCAGTGCCCACGACGCAGTTTGTGGCTCCATCTACAATGACTGTCACTCTTCCAGACAGCGCTCCACGGTGAATTGCTGTGTAGACTTATTTGAGGCAAGAAACAAAGGAAGCTGACTGTAAGTGTGTATTGATGATTTAGTGAGGCGACTGAGAAGAGAATGAGGACTTCCAAGCTTAAGATGGCGAAAGAAGAAGCAAAAAAGACGCTTGATGCTGAAGATACTGCTACTGCTACGAACGAAGATGAACAGAAGGAGGCAAAAGAGGAGAAAGAGGAGAAGGAGGAGAAGAACGACTGGGACGGACCCACAACTAACTATCATGTAAAACAGCTTGGTTTAGACGATAAGGTGGACATCTATGCACCCATAGTTCAGCAGCAATATGATGTCCAACGTGTGCGTGAGCGCACTAAATACATGCCCAGTGTTAAAAGCACTAAGTCATCGAGTGACTCCGAAGCTGATTCAGATTTCGTACCGAAGGATAGACCGAGTAAGGAAATTGAAGAATTAGACACTTTGCCAATCTCCGAAGGTAGTGCAAGCGAGACTCAAGCGCTTGCTGGAGAGACTGGAGACGTGGAGGAACAAGTTGCCACCATGCAGATGATTGAAAGCCACCGAACTTGGACTTCATGGCTATTTGTTTACATACCGCTGATTCTTGTGGCAGTCGTTGTTCTTGGGATTGCACTGCTATATTTGATTGACTGGTCGCAAGAAACTTTTCAATTTTGCGAATTAGATGCTGAGAGTGCACAAGGTACGTTTCGTGTAATTGCTACGACATTTGTGTTGTGATTTGAACTGGATACCGCTGTTGTACGATTGTTGTTGCTCTGTCTGCTGTAGGTGCTGACGAAATTTTTTCATGCTCGTCAATTGCGAAGACACTTTCGCTGATCAAGTTTACGATTCGAGAAACTGTACAGACGGCCCAGGAGGTAGTGTTGTCGTATCTCAAGTAAGAGAAAGCGAAATTGCCTCTGTCTTTTGCCGCCGTTGCCAGTTGCTGTGGGAGTCCTGGTCCCGGCAGACGGGCTGAGAAGGATCTACACCATTGCTAGATATTTGTGGACTAGCCGTATGCGACCGAACATAGTAGTAGTTTGCATTTGCATTTTTAACGTGTTAATGAGAAAAATGATTTCGAAATCACGGATTTATGCAAGCAGATGCATGCAGATGCACATCAATACAATGATAGTCTAAAGGCCACAGATATGTATCATGTTCCACGGGGCATGTAGTCTCAATATTTCGTACAAAAATCAAGTGCCTGCCCCCCGATAATCATGGCTACCATCAAGACCGTACTGTCCTTCGAGGGTGAGCGCGAGCTTGTGACAGAAGTACGTGCCCATGAGCTCGTCCAGACGTATGCTGATGCAGAGACACAGGAACTGCCACCGGCATTTACACACATAACACTGCGCAACAAGAGCTATACACTCGAAGCTGCACGCGTAATTGCTGCCTTCTTTTCGCGCCTTGAAATGCGTGGCGCTTTTGAAAGGCTCACGAGCGTAGACTTCGCGGATATGATTGCTGGTCGTCCTGAAGATGAAGCGCTGCAGGTGCTGTCAACGCTTTGCGATTCACTCAGCGCTATCAAGACACTGACGCGCATTGACTTGAGCGACAATGCACTGGGTGAAAAGGGCGTTCGTGCTTGTTTTGGGCTGCTACTAAATCAGGAGCAGCTGCAGCACATTTATTTCTGCAATAATGGCATCTCAGCGGCAGCTGCGAATGTAATTGCACAAGAGGTACTGCTATTCCGTGGTCAAGATACGCCCACAAAACTTGAAACTTTCCACTTTTACAACAACATGAGTGGAGATGGTGGAGCTATAGCATTAGCCAAGCTGTTGCCAATGTCCCCAGCGTTGAAAGACTTGCGATTCTCCGCCACGCGTGCACAGAGAGAAGGAAGTCTGACGTTTGCGCAGGCGTTAAATTCTCTTCAAAAGCTCGAGAAACTCGACCTTAGTGACAACACATTTAAAACGTCTGGGGGTAAAGCGATTGCTGCAGCTGTCAAGAACATGCCCAATTTACGGGAAATAAACCTCCGTGACGCTGCTATTGAAGACGATGGTCTAGTTGCAATTGTAGAAGCGATGGTCGAGGCCGGGGCAGTTGATACTCTTGCAGAGCTGGATGTTTCTGGTAATGATCTGACTGCTGACAGCATGCAATCACTAGGCCAGCTACTTTGTGTCAGCACTGCTCTGCGCGTCTTGCAGATGGAGGAGAATGAGATTGGATCAAAGGGCGCCAAAGTCATTGCCAAGGCTATAACTACAGGATCGCCTTTGCTGGAGCGAATTGTCGCCAATGTGAATGAGATTGGGGCCTCTGGTGCACTTGCGCTTGTGAAAGCTGTTGTGGAGAAGAAAGCATTTGTAAAACTTGATATGGACGGCAATCAGATCTCGGCTGATGGTGTGGCAAACATTGAGGAGCTGTTGGAAAGTAAAAATAGAAGTGACATGCTTGGCTCAATGGATGACAATGATGAGGATGAAGAAGATGAAGAAGAAGAGGAAGAGAAGAACGAGGATTCTTTGAAACAAGTGACATCGATGCTTGACAAGGTGACGATTAAAGCAGTTAATACCTAATTGCTTGGATTTTGCGATGTCAACTTATGTACATGCATCAATGATCACACAAAGTATGTCAATGATTAAGTTTTTTTAACAAGACATTGCTTGATAAGACAGAGATGATCCTTTATTCCCATTTTGGACTCAGAGTTGCATTTCATACGTTTAATGAAAACTATCCCAAACAAAAAATTGCATCGCTTCACTTTTTGCCAATGAACGGATTGCAATGATTGGAGTACAATCGATTATCATTTGTACTCATTTCTCCGTTTACAACTGAAGTACATCACGTTCTGCAGAAAATCACTGGATTCGCCTGGATGATAAGACCTGTTGTGCTCGCCGTCAAAGTCGATGACATTAAAGAGACTCCACGGGTGATAATTAAGGGCAAAAAAATATGGCATATGGGTTGTATATCGAAGCAAAGTATTACTGACATCGTGATGTAGCATATATTTCTGCGCGTCGTAGGCTAATCTCAGGAAAGGCTTGCGTGGGATTCCATTTCTAACGATTTCAAGGACTAAAAATCAGTTCGGCCGTTATTCCAGGAGGATTGACTCCATACGTTAGAGCTGGCGACATCGGATTCTATAATTCGTTCAAAGATAAGACTCACAGTAGAATTTCTAAACTCAGAAAAAAAGAAATATTTTGTGATTAGGTCATAACAGGTTAGCGGAATCTCCCAAAATTGCGATTCAAAAATGCGTTAAACTTGATCTGTCTCATAGTGAAACATTTCCAAAATTCTTACAATTGTCGCGTTGGAAAATATGACAGCGCAAATTAGCAAATATTCTATTTTAGTCAATAAACAGCCATTCGTTCCTCTGCTTCCGCTTCTTGGCTTTCTTTTCCGCTGCTATTTTCTTCCAGTCAATGTTCCTTCGCTTCAATTGCTCCTTTCTACGCCGTGCTTCCTCTCGATTTCTCTCTAACTCCGTCATATCGAAAAAGTGGCTCATTTGTCGCCCTGCACGATCGGTAGCAATACCTGCATTTTTCCAATAGTCATCACCGCCGAGTTGCTCGTACTTGCCGGTCAGCCGATTAAATTTTGCTCGGGCAACATATTGTTCGCCAGAATTTTTTACTGTATCAGCGCTTGTCGAATTAGCCTCGGGGACTTGTGGGGGTATCCAATCTGACAACTACATGCAATGATAAACTTCTTATTAAATATATGCCAACAAAATAAACATTCTAGACGTACCCCCGAGACAATGGGTGCGTCTGGTTTTGCCCACTGTGTAACCCCTGTAACCACATTGTGGTAATAGTAGCGCTGGGTCTGAGCGTCGAAATGCTGTTGCCATTCTGATTTGAGCGTTCGTGACAGATCAGCATCATTTTTTTCATCTGACGCTTTATTCGAGGAAGGCTGACCGTCAATCTCATTTAGTATAGCATTTAGCTTGGTCAGGTTGCCCGACGGGTCTAGGACTTGCTGCGTCACGCGCGTTAGGTGATCTGTACGCATTCGATTCAGATAAGCCTGATACTCGGCAGTCATTCCAGAAGCCGTGGGAGCTACTGCGGTCTCATCAAGTTTTTCAGGCTTGTCCCATTGCGTTTTGCCTGTGTTTGCGTTGTAGTAGTATGGCTTGTTGCTAGCAGCATCCACGTACTTTACCCATTGTTGAGACTTTTGGCTTGCGTCCGTAGCTGTACCCGAATCTTTTTCAGTACTTTTGGGAATACTATCGACTGGCAGTTTGTCTTTAATCTCCTGTAATTGAACATTCTGTTCCGTCGTGTCAATCTCTCGTGAAATTTCATTGTCACGTCGTTCTGATGCGACTTGCTCTTCAGGCTCATTATCACTGCATTTCTTCCTGATCGTTTGACTCGGACAAAAATTTTCCGGCTTATCCCATCGACTTTCACCACTTGTTTCGTCGTGGTAATATGTCATACCGGACTCGTCGTCGACATACTCGCGCCAATTTGTAGTTGCATCGTGCGCTGTGTCTTGCACCTGCAAAGTCTTTAGCCTGGCAGGAGCCTCCCAGGATGACTCGCCAGTATGAATGTTAAAGTAGTAAGTCGATCCAGATTTAATGTCCACATGCTTCTGCCACTTGCAGTCGTCATTACACTCCGGGTTTGCAGACGTCATTTATATCTATCTCAAGATAATTATGTTTTGAATACTTTTAATTGGCGTACATTAAATTAGTTCATTCTGATTTGAAAGACTTGAAGTGCACCAGATCGGTAGCAAGCAGCCGAGTGCAGCAGATAGAACTCCCACGTGCGTTTGAAGGACTCGGGAAGCGATGATGTGTGCTGCAAATTCGCCAAATCGTTTATTGATGTGGATTGATTGATTGAGTTTGAAGATGAGTCACGTCCCCATCGCGCTTGAAATTGACGATTCCATTCAAGAAACGTGCGTTCGTAGTGATCCGAGTAGCCAAGTGTTTCTTGAAGTGTAAAGCCCGTTTCACTGGCTAGTCGACGTAAAATTGGCAAAGTTATGGCGTAACAAGGGTAACTGCTATGCACGTACTTGTTCGTCCATGCATGAGTTGCCATATGTGCAGCTGTACAGGCATTGAATTCCAAAAGGGTCGTGCCGCTCACGTGCTGTATACGTTTCAACGTTCGCAAAAATCGGGTTCGTTGCAGCTCTGGCACAGTTTCAAAAACGCCACATAATGTGATGCGGTCGAAGTTCGACGAACGATAACTACTCAGTAGGTTAAGAAGCTTCTCAGGCGTCTCAGCTAGCGCAAACTCCATTCGATCGACGACTTCGAGCTCACGAGCGAATTTCTTGGCGCGTGCAATCTCTTGTATCGATGACAAGACACACACAATGGT